GCCGTTATGTGGCTTTCGCTGTTTTTGGATTATTTTTACTTTAGCCTAAAGCAATCGGGCCTATGGCTTTGGTTCGTGAATTGATCGCTTCACTTCGTGCGAGAGCTGGCTATGGGCCGCGCACTGAGCAATATCTCTTATAATGCCACGTGACGTGGGTGGGGAGAGTGTGTGTCGCTGGGGGCCCTATGTAAGCTCCCTTCATAGGCCGTGATATCATGGCCGCCCTTACGGAGCGGGTCATGACGTTCAGGAGGTGAAATGCCTCCGAGATGAAATGTGTGGGCTTTCCGTCCCTAGCTTCATCCAGCACTATGTGCTAACCGATCGGGTTTGTCATCGTGTCTACGCGCATATATGAATGTGTTCAAATAATGAAGAGAGGGACAGGATTGATATCACTAGTGCTTGTTTAGGGAGCAGGCGCTTGCCTCGCGGGTGCTGCTCGCGCTGAGGAGAGCTCCCGAGCGCTCGCTTGTAGAGAATCCATGGCGGTTCCTAAGCCACGAGCTGGCGAGGGTGCTTCTTGGCTGCTTGAAGCGGTCGTGGCTGGCATGGGTCATCCTCTTGGGCTGCCTTGGGCTCACCTTTGCCGTTTTGACGCCTTCGATGGGCTCGCGATCTTCCTAGGATGTCTTCTCCGTGTCTTGTCTGTCATCGCTCTTGGTTAGGGGGACCTACGTGTCCTGGTGCCTAGGTTCTAGTGTGATGATGCTTTCAATGCCATGTCTCCGCCTTCGGTTGTGACTGCCACTTTCCGAGAAGGGCTAGTGTGTCTTATTGCTGTGGAGGTTGGCTTTGATTACAGTGCGGTTTGATCCACTCATCGTGGTTCGCGGTGTGCTCAGGGAGCTCGCCTCCTCGGAGGCACGTGCCTCCGTGCAATGTGTGACGGCTCACAGGGACACATCGCGTGGTCTGCCCGCTGTGCAGGATTGGATCTTGACTTTGGGTTTGACCCTTCATGGAGTGGTGCCAGCTAGCAACTCAGTTACTATCGGTGATGCCATGGGGCAGCGGATGATTTTGTTGCCTGTGCACACCCTGGCTCGCGGCATTCCACTGGTAGAGCCATTGTTCAGGGTATGTTTCTACTATAGGTTCCAGTTCCACCACGTGGCGGGTCCGCATCGAGTAGGAGTCGACGACGGGCGTTGTTTCGCTGGTTCTGGCGATCTCATGGTTCCCTAGGAGGATGTGGCCACCGTGGGCCATTCCCCGGGTGAGGTCGCCATGAGCCATGGCCGTCTAGCTCCCTGGGTGGAAGTCTTGACTGTGGCTGGTAATGAGAGAGGGCCCTGGGCCCCCTATGTAGGTAAACTCTAGGATGCAGCTCCTGTAGTCAGTTCTAAGAGTGCGCCTGCCATAGGCCGTGGGACCCAGATTCCTGAGGTGGAGGTATGGACCGTGGCCAAGGGCGAACGCGGGGCTGACCCTTTGGTGTGGTTAACCACGTGGTTCCCTAGAAGGATGTGGCCGGTTGAGGCCTTTCCTCAGGCAAGTTCGTCGTGAGCCGTGGTCCTTCGGTTTCTCGAACAGGAAACTTGGTCATGGCTTGCGACGAGCGAGGGTACTACCCCTCTGGATCGGTGAACTCTAGGAGGCAGCCTCCGGGGGCAATTCCGGGAGTGTGTCCACCATGGGCCATGGAACTCAGATTTCCAAGGTGGAGGTCTAGATTGTGGTTGATGGCGGACGAGGGCGCTGGCCCTTTGGCACTGATAAACCCATAGTTTTCACGGTGGATGTGACCGCCATGGGCCATTCCACTAAGCGAGTCCACCGGTGGTGCGAGGAGCCATCACTTCCTTCCTCAATAATCGAGAGTGTGCGACTGTCCCCTACCTGGCGAGCCAACTATCAGTGTTTCATAAACTGGACTAGTAAATTTATATGATTACCACGCTGCTCTAGGAAGACAATGATAGCATCCAACAGACATGAGGATTTATACTAGTTTAGGCCAGAGCCCTACGTCCAGTCTCAGAGAAGATCGAGTGCATGTTCCTCGCTTGAATGCTCTGAAGTTCTTACAATGGGGGGTGCAAGAATGGTGAAAGAGGTGATAGAACCTATGCTAGATGAGGGACAACCTGAAGAGAAGTTCCAGGAGTCCTACCGCTATGGATGGAATGGTAGAGGATGAAGAATGTGACCATGTCCTTGAGATGAGAGCCCTGGCTGCCCTTATATAGAGTTTAGGACCCGGGCTTGTTAAAAAGAGGAGGTTCCCCCGACCGAAGGGTCGAGAGCCTGAGGGAGGTCTTAGCTGATTTGGCTTGCAAGCTACGCCATTTTCTGATGCTCGCCCGGGCGTGGCTATCTTCATGGTCTTATGGCCACGTCGCGGCAGGGTCTAACATGTTGCTTCTGTGTTGGTCATGGCAGCACTGTAGCCATGGTGATAGTTCGTCAGCTGTCCTGTGCAATGCGGCATCTGTCATGGTCTTTGCCATCATCTCTAGGTTCCCCAAGGCGCCGTACATGTAGTAGGTAGCTGCCCTGGGTCGTTGTTCGCCTGGTCGCTTCGTGGGGCTGAGGGCCACGACCCCGATCATTGGGATCTGGGCACTCCCTTAGCTAGGGAGGTCTCTAGGTCGAGGCCCTTGTCATGAATCCCATCTCATAGTGGGTGGGATCGTACGCGCGTCCTGTCGGTCCATATTCGGACGGTGGGTTTCATACCCATTGCCACCGTTGTGCGGTGTTGTCTCGTTGATATGGTGTGGCGTTGGGTTGGCGTCTGACCGGACCGAGGTGACTGCTGTCATATCGGTCCTTGCGGGGTCATCGTGGCATGCTTGCCTTCGTCAAAACCAGCACGTCGCGTGGGGCTCAACTTCTCCCTGTCTCTCCCAGGGGTCGTGACGGGGAAGAGGTCGCATATTTGAGCATCACGCGGCTAATGCTAGAGGAAGGGATCGTGATCGCCCTCGCCTTAGCGCCTGGCCTGCTCTGCTATGCTTTTGCTGGGCCTTGGTCGTTCGGGCCTTTGCTAGCTGCTGGGTTGCGGACCATGCAGCCCGCTAACTAGTCGGTGCCCCGAGACACCCCGGGGTTATGACCCCGACACTTACAATCCACTTATCCTCTCCCTTATCTCTCTCTTCCACCGGCAAACAATCCTTTATTATAATATTGCACTAAGACCAATCTCAAGAGACTTTTATAGTCATTTATTGTAGTACTACATCAGCAAGAGTGATAAGTTGGTATAGAAATTATAAGAGGAAAAAAGAGACGAATTTTACCCATGTAACATAGTTAACACTGTTTTCTAATGAACGAACTCCAACAAAATTTACATTGAGAGCCCACAATTTCATCTCATGTGTTTTTTTGCTGATTATGCAGTTCACATCTTCGCTGTCCACTATGCCCCACATGTTTATCAAGTGATATGTAACTTATTTTATATACGCAACTCTATTATTATATATTATTATACAATATTAAAGTAAATTAAACTATTGATATTTTTATGCTAGTACTTAATTTAGATAGTACTGCAAGTGACCATGTTTTTCATATATGGCATATTTAACTATAACACCATGTAAAAGTTAAATGTTTTAGCTACCCTATGAAATAGTAAAAATGAAAATATGGATTGAGAGAGGTTGTTTCATGTCTTGTTTTTAAAACTGCCACATCTTGAAAACAGGGACATATAAAACCTCCCATGAAGCCAAAAAAATGATATTAGCTGCTTAATGCTGTGTGTAAGTATATGTAAGACTGGCTTAATATAGGGAGAGGTAAATTAGTAGGGCAACATGTGAAAGTGATGGAGTCGCCTTTGTGATAACTGATAAGTACCAACAAACATGTCCAAAAATTGAGATAAGATATATAATTTGTAGTACGGTCACCCTAGATAAAACCATGTTAATGATAATGAGCTTTGGATTTAACTGGCCTTGACCTCACCTTATTTTAATTAAATCAAATAATTCTAAGTCTCTTAATAAATGCTAGGTACAATAAATGACTAATCTCGTATGAAAAAATGATTGAAGAGTAACTCAGCTTAAATGGATGGCTGTTGTGTGCACCTCTTGTGAGGTTAAGAAAGGTAGATGGCCAGCCATACGCCTGCTTGCGTATTGAGTCACAATGTGCATGGGCTCGGACAACTAGGCCATGACATACAAGTGGTGTGACGCGCCAATCGAATGTTTTGTAGCTCCAAAGATGAAAGTGAGGGATGACAGAATGAGTGATGTTAGAAGAGGTGTTGCCATGTGGGAGTGATGTAGCCATATGGGAAGGGACGATCGTATGGAGAGAGAGAGAGAGAGAGAGAGAGAGAGAGAGAGAGGAGGGGTGCACTGTGAGAGTGAGGGATGGATGAACGAGGAGGGCACTGTGAGAGTTTGGGATGGATGAACGGACAAGAGAGAAAGGGACAAACGAAACAAATTTGTATATGACACTGTTATTCCCATATATATAGATCTTAGTTATAAAAATACTACTACATCTGTTCCCAATTATATATGGCACTATTGCTCTTTAGGTTTTAACCCAAGTCAAAATTGTCAATTTTGATCAAGTTTATAAAGGCATTAACATCTATAATGTTCATTAGACACTTGAAATATATAATGGTAGCGCTGTTTTTTTATCTATAGATTTATCAAAACTTGATTAAAATTTAAAAGTTTAATTTAGGACAAAGCAAAGTGAATTACAATTTAGAATGGAGTGAGCAGGCACCAATCGTAACACTCCATTCCAAACCGTACACATCACTTTCAACTTACAATAGGATAGGGTGAGCTTATTTTTCAAAGCATTTGCATTGAGTCCTATCGTGGCCTACACGGCACATAATTTTCCAAGTCTTCCGCGTAGACTAGACTGCATATGTGCCATTATGTCTCCACCAACAGCCATCTAAATTTTCTTCAGCTTTGGCAGCTCCTTCATTGTTAAGCCTTATCCTTCAGCTAGCTCATCGCTACCATTTGGTAGATCATCAAAGCGATCAGGCAGCCATGGCGACTAAAGCCAAATCAAGCTCCTCGTCATGCCTCTCCTTCCTCAAGGACGCCCTGCTCCTTCCGACCCAGAACGCCAAGCTCTTCGTCCCTGTCTTCCTCCTGGTAACCGCTCCCCTCCTTATTCTCCAAATCACCAATGTCTTCTGCATCCAGCCGCGCACAGCCGACATACTGCACCACCTCGACGAGATCAAGAACATGGACCCCTCAAGCGCCGATTACGCCGAGCTCATGGCGGAGATCTTAAAGGAAGCCAGGGAGCTTGTCATAATCTCCATCGCGCTCCTAATCATCACCTTTGCAGAAAGCTTTGCCAAACAGATCATAGCCTTCTTCGCCACCTCCACCACCTACGCCGGCGACCGCTACTCACTCCCTGAGCTCTTCACCGAGGTGATCATGAAGGGGCGTCGCCTGAGGGGCCCTCTCATAACCGTCGCCATGGTGGGCGTCCTCAACGTCGCGTGCATTCTCCTCCTCGTCGCGCTGCTCCAGCTCGCGATGAGCCACATGGGGGTGCTCTACATGGCGGTCCTCTTCGTGCTCCCGTTCCTCGTGTTCCTGTACCTCAACATCGTCTTCTTCGTCGCCATAGCCGCGTCGGTGGCCGACGCGGACCGCCGCGGCGTGAGCGCGCTCACGCTGGCGTGGCGGCTGATGACACAGGTGTGGAGGAAGGAAGGCTGCGTGCTGGTCGTCGTGGTCCAACTGGTGGAGATGGTTCCGTCCCCGCTCCACGCGGTTGCGCTTGCGTGGTTGAAGAAGAGCATGCCCATGGGGCTGGCTCTGCTCTCCGTATACGCGCTGCTGTCCGGCTTGGTGCAGCTCTTCTACTACGCCGCAGCGATGGTGTACTACTACCAAGCCATGGAGAGCAAGGAGGTGATGGCCCATGACTACGTCAAGATCCCGACAGGTGAAGCAACTGTGTGATTGATTGCTGAATGGTAGCAGTAATAAATTTTCTGCCAGGTAATGAATAATATTTATTCAATAGAAAAATGAATAATATACGTTTATGGTTTGTGCTGAAACTTGTATGCAAAGACTATTCATTTAGAAAATAAAAAGAAATCCAAAGACCATTATGTACAACTTTTGTGAAAACAGAGTTAGTGGCAAGTGAGCTATATAAATCAATAATCTATGTGTGTTTTCTATTTAGCAAACATAAGCTACAAAAGAGTGTAGCTCAGCTAATGAGGTTTTTTTTTTACTGTGAACCTATCTATCCAGGTTCAAGTCCGTGACTGGACACGGATGCTCATATTTTTTAGGATTTATTTTTGAACTTAATTTATGACGACATTATTACTTCACCTGTATGTGATGTACTAGATTGTAGCCATAGACAACAAGGCGCATGTGGTAACTTGTTGTCAATCTCAGCGCATAGGGGTAGGATGTGTTTATGCATTCTGTAATATCAGTAACTAGCCCATCAACCTATACTCACGCTCTATAATCATATATGTTTTATAAATATTAAAAGTTTTAATTTTTAGGTAAATTAGTAGATACAACTAATCAAAATTGATGATATCTTTACTCACTCTTTATTTATTTCTAACTGTGTAGCGATTTAGATACTCTAAAATCTCTAGCCGGTATGATAAATTTACTAATTACTACTATATATATGTGTGTTTTTCAACCTTTGTATTGCACCCATGTGTGCGGTTTTACTATGTATTTAGTTGTAAAATTAGATTAAATTATATCAGCACTTATTGCACCATTTTTGTGGCAACATGAATTTATATTTTGATTTTATTTGATCTTATTAGTTGTGGCAAATTTTTTATCTAGATTCTAGACCCCACTCTTAGGTACTACAATGGCATAAACAACCTACACTACGCCACTCAAAATATGCTTGTATATTTTGTACACATGGTAACACATAGCATTTATGGTGGCTCTGTTGAGAGCCTCTTTGTTAATATTAGTATATATTGTCATCCTTTATATTATACTTCTGTAGATTATGTATTCAGTTGAAGTCTAAGCTTAAGTTGTATTAACTTTTATTACACCTCATTCTACAAAACATGAATCTATATTTTGGCTGTCAACATTTGATCTTATTAGGTGTTATATTTTTAGTCCACGTGTGAAGTTAAAACTCTAGCATTTATTGTACCTTTTATTCATTTTTTCTTTTACATTACACTTTATTAAAATCTAAATTTTGGTCCTAGATGACACTCCTAGCTATTACAATGGTACAGTATGACACCACAATATTGAAAATATTGAATTTGCTATATCAAATAATTATATGTATAGTATTTTTTAATAAAAACACAAATGCTTAAAATAAAATTACTAGTATTGACATGTCATTGTTTCTGTCAAAATATATAAACTTATCTAAAGTAAACAATTTAAAACTTTATTTTTATTCAACATTAATATATTTACAATGAATTATGGTGACATTGTTTGTGTTTGTTAAGGGAATATTTTCCACAATTGATAAACTATTAGAATAAATATTTATTACAACATTCGGCTCAATTTGATTGAGGCCCATCATGGCCCATGTGTGTTGATATGTGAAACTGTGGAGATTTGATCCCACATTAAAGTGCATACCAACCAACCCCATGTTAACCTGTTTACGTGAAGCAAGAACAAAAGCTTAATGAGGTTGGTTGTATGTAGTTCACATAGTGTCTATAGTGGATTGAGCTATATGTACTATGAGATGTTGCAAATAGTAACATAACTGTGGTTATAGTCGTGCGTGGGTTAGGAGTGTAGCCATGTAGCACATGGCACAAGTAGTCCCTAGTGTATATGTGTTTGTGTGTGCGCGCATGTGCATGTGTACTTGTGTGCGCATGCGTGTGTGTGGGAACGTGCCTGTTTGCGTGTGTACATGTGTGCACGTGCGTGTGTGTATGGGCGTGTGTTAGTGCACATGTGCAGCATGCCACATACACGAGCATGTGGTGCTTGATGTGTTGGCCCTGTGGTGAGTGCACGACATGGCAAGTGTACGACACCGTATGCATGAACACGTGTGCTGAAATATTCCTAGCCATTGTCTAAGTGTGTGTTTCACTCAACATATAGAAGGTGATTTTATCCCTTTTGAAAAAAGTAATGCCTAGATTGCTTGACCTCATGACTTCATTTCCATAGTCCCCAAACATGTTGTAATGTTTAGATTCATCTCCATAAATCTTCTTCATTGCAAAGCTCCTAGCTCTAACCAACTTGCTCCTTGAAGGGGTTAATTTCCATTCCATATGCACTATTCTTGCAAAGATAGCTAAATTCATTTTATCATTAGACCTAAAGCTATCTAGGTACTTCTTAGGCAACCGAGTTGAAGTACACATCTTCAAGAACTGTTATTTCTAGTAGTTGTGACCTCCAACATAAGTCTTTAGTTCTTCACCATAAAAGCCTTCACTTGATATGTTGTCAAAGGAGGCATACTAGTCCCGTGGGCATCCTTGAGCACAATGTGGCCTCACCCTCATCTTGTCATTTCTTGGAAGCTTAATGTCAACTCTATTCACTACTAGAAATATCCACTTCTATGACGAATAGATTTCATCACTGAAGGAGCCAAATTCATCATAATTTTAGTTTTATGACGAATTTATGACAAAAACTGGTTTGTCATAGAAGTCGCGTCACTCTTGCATATCTATGACGAATTTGACAAAAATCATCATAGAATTGCCTTGATATGTGATGAAAAATAGATTGTCATAGAACTGTTTTGGCATGCGTGGTAGGGGGCTACCACGCTGGTGGGCGCTTCCGTTGGAGATGCTTTCCACATGTACATGCTATAGTCCACGTGTACATGCTATAGCCGGTTGTATTGGAGATGGTGCGGGTACGTGTCACCTTCTTATTGCACAACGTGGATATCTCTGGTTCTTGCACATTTCAGGTTTTTGTTGGACCACATGTCATTTCCCTGTTGCTCCACATATCAGTTTTCTACTAGCACACATGTCGTGTTGCCGTTGGATCACGTGTCACTTCTTTATTTGACCACGTGTCCTATTTTTATTGGTCCACATGTCCATTTCTTATTTGACCACGCGTCACTATGCTTACCATCCACGTGTTGATTTTTTATACATCCACGTGGCTTAACGATTTCCTTTCGCATGTTAGATTTTTAATAGCCCACGTGTTGTGCCCTAACCAATTCACGTGTCGTGCACTAGTTCATCCATGTGTCGCATTTTTATTTGATCACGTGGCCTGTCCTGGTTCTACTGCGTGGAGTACAATCAATTTGTCATAGAAGTAATTTGAGATTGTCACTACTACACAGACTAACTACATAACTATTTAGCATGACAATCAAATAACAACAATTTACATTTCACACATTAGCAGTGAACCACTGACAGAGTATCACCATATTAAACAGGCATACGAGTACACACATCAAACAGGCACATGAGTCCACACATCAAACCACAAATGTTTATTGCATCAAGCCACAAGAGTTGAAGACTGAGAGTTACCAGAAGAGCTGAAGTGCATGCATAGCTCACGGAGATTGTTGTACTCCTCCTATTGCTGTTTCTTGTATTCCTCAAGCTCCCTTTCAGTATTTTTTTGTCTTCCTCTTCAGTTCATCCACTTGATCGACGAAGGCAGCAAAACTTTCCTGTTCAGCAGCAAGCTGTTCCTGAAGCATTCTCTCTGCTGATGTCTCTATTCTAGTGGAGCTTGTCTGGATACCAGCATTCTTCAAAAAAGGTTGTTGCTGCTTCCCTAGGAGGGGGCCTTGCCCTGGTGGATGTAGAGGACCTTGCAAACAATATTAACACTAGTAATTGTTTGCTGCCCATCAGCAACAGGTTCTGCTTGCATACTTTCCATTGCTTCCTGCGAAATTCAATCAGTAAAACATTAGGTTACATATAGTGTAAGAGGACTTTAATTGAAAACCCAAGAGATTGATTCATAACAAGTAATGCATAGGTCTTCCTCATCCTACTACTAATAGAGATTACATAAGCTTCAGTAGATTTTAGTAGATTTCATAACACTAGGCTCCTGCTATGTTTCCTTCTTTTATGGCAATGGCTTCAGCAGATTTCAAGGGAAGCAAAAGAAGGTACTTACAACTACTGCTCTTGAGCATTGCTCAGGCCATTTGTCCTAATGGTATGAAAGTCCCTAAAGACTTTCATAGCGTTAACATCTTCATCAGGTGGACCATTTTCTTCTTCAAGTCCTTAATGTTGTTCTGCTACATTCCTCTTGATCTTCTTCTGTTCACATTGCACATGAGTTTCGGTTTATATTTATACAAATGAAAGAGTAACAATAAAACACAACCATCACTTATAAAATTTTGCATCTGGACAACATAGGAGCGAGATCCTATAGCTTGGTGGTACTTCACTCTTGCACGGTTTCACTTGTTCTTCTCAGATGTTTCCTATAGCTTTATTTGTGCTAGACTGTAGCACAAGTAGACCATAGCATGACTAGATAGGAAATCAATGGGTTCACACACCTTGTTCTTAGCACTAGACCAAATCTTGACAAGTTCACACCACTGTGCATCGTTCATGGATGAGACAGAAGAGGTCATATGGATCTAATTAGCGGAGATGACATTGAAGTATGTTCTCTTCAACCTGTAGCATTCCTGCCGTACCACAAACTACATTACAATCTGGCAAGCTTTTTTTGCTGGTGAGTGAGCACCGTTAACGCATAGCCTTCCCTGCACACAGTAGTGTGAATGAAAAGTAAATCCGTTAAAGTTGCTCATAGCAGAGTTGTCGGTGTTTCGTAAATCGGACTAGTAAATTTATATGATTACCGTGCCGCTCTAGGAAGACGATGGTAGCATCTAATAGACACGAGGATTTATACTAGTTCAGGCCGGAGCCCTATGTCCAGTCTCAGAGATGATCGAGTGCATGTTCCTCGCT